ACTTATTTATGTTGTGTACTAGCCACAGCTACGAAGTTAGCCCTGTGGAAGGGGTACGATAGCTCTGGCTGGGGAAATGATCTCCCCTTCTCTACATAATCCATGAAGACTTCTTCAGATATGCATGAGGTAGGATTGTATATTGGATGAATTAATGGGCTCCATTATGCAATGGCTTCTTGACTTCGGGAAAAAAAATTTTTTTCTTGAATAATGCTAAGGGAAAAAGCAGGGTAGTAGGCCATCTCAGTTTTTAGGTTGTTAGCAGATAAGCAATGATGGATAATGAGCATATATGCACAAAGTCTGGTGTCTGTAATCAATGAAAACTTTCTACAAAGTTAAGTTAATCTACATTTAATGGTGTGTATGACTATAATTGCTCTGAATGACAATTAGGCACATTAGGCACTGACGTTAAGCAATTCACTGGGCTTATGCAACTCTAATGGCTGTAATTCATATATGTATTTTTTTACTTCACCACCTCTGTTTTTCTGAGGCCAGCTTCAGGCACTCAAAAAATTGTCATTTCCTTTCTTTCCTTCCCAAGTGTAGCAATGGTCCATTTTCTCTTTCTGCCCAGATAGGGTGAGTAATGAGGCAGAAAGTGTTGTTAGGAAAGGTCCAGGTCTAGTGACTGGCACACAAAGTGTATCCAGATGTTTTCCATGGTATTAGCACCAATCTTACCATCTGGTCCCATGTGAGCAATTTTTCGAATGTCGAAGGGACAGAGCTGCTTCTACTAAGTATTTACTCTGTGTTTTATATGTATTCATGCCTTTAATTCTTAGAACACCACCACCTTGAAGGGCTGGCTATTGTCTCTGGGTGCAGAGGAGATCACTGTGGCAGTGAGGTCTCTGGGTCGTGCTTCTTGGAGCAAAGGTTGGACAGGCTCCAGAGGCTGTGTTGCTTCCCCTCTGGTCCTTTATCTCCTCCACATCCTCTCTGGCCAGAGTGTTGGGGAGGCTTGTGGAAGCTCAGGGTCCCACAGCTGCTCAGCCCTGCGGGAAAGGCTGTTGGTGGTACACAGATGGCTGGGAAGCTGCTTGCAAAATCATCAGTGCAGCCTCTGTACACGTGGGAATGTGTTACGGAGGAGGGTTTAAGTGCGTGTGGACCCCTGACCGAACGAATCAGATGCTGGAATTAGGAGCCCTGGGCTTGAGGGGGAGCTTGGAGGTCATCTAACTTTGTGGTTTTGAAGCTTTTAGTCGCAAAGGACTTTTGCCATTCATTTTCCCCAGAGACCCTCTACTTGAAAATATTTTGCCTGGTTAAAGCATTTTTTTTTCTTTTCTTTTTTTTTTAATAAAGCATTTTTAAAGAAGTAATTCTGTTTTCTGATTTTGTTAATCAAAGGTGTAAGAGATGATTGCCAAATAGAGCTTCTGACCAGACCGAGGCAACCTCGCTTTCCATGCAAAGTGACTCTTACTTCAGCCAAGCACATTTGAGTGCTTTTTAATGAGCCTGTTGCAGACTTATGGGAGGTGGGGTGGCAAATGTTCAATTTCATCAGTCTTTTCCAAATTTTGGAAACTGTCCAAAAACAATCCTCTCCCTGTCCCAACAGGCCTTTAGGAACCCACATGAATCTGGTGGCCGCAATAGGATACCATTGATCCAGATCTACATCCTTATTTTATTATTGAGGAACCTGAGGCCCAGACAGGGTAAATAAAATTTCCAAAGTCACCGAATAAGTTACTGCATAAAAGGAGTACTGGATAGTGGGACACAGGTGTCACCTGGGCCCCACTAACAACTCAGAGAGTTGATGGGTTCATTGTGTGTCCAGTTCTGCAGTTTATGGAAGTTCAAAGATCTTCTTGCTGCTTTTAATCCTGAGTGTATGTCTTTAGTGATCCAGCTCCTACTTCTTTGGTGTGTTATGTCTGCTTTTCCCTAAATCACCCCAGGCTAAGAACTGGTCCCCACATTCCATAATTAAATCCACTTCCCCACATTCCATAATGAAATCCACTCATACAAGTGTTCTGAAAGCTGTAGAACAGGCTGCTTTCACCATCAAGCCAGTTCTCCTCTTTCCTCTTTTAACCTCTGACCTCATCTCCATCCTCCCAGATTGTGCCTTATGCCCAAGGTGCATGAACCTGTTGGCTTCTTACCTGTCTGATTTCTGTCAGTGGCTAGGTAGGGGTCACCGCATTGTCACCACAGATTTTGGAAGCTTCTCCCACTGTCCTACCCTTCTCACCGCAGCAGCTGGAATCACAGATAAATAGAAATTCTCATTCTCCATTGTTATCCAAACTCTGGTGTGAGGGGACAGAGGGACATGGGAGGAGATGAGGTGGTTGCTCTTCTTAGAGAATAAAGGCTTGTTGCAAAACAAGGAATAAAAATGCCCATCTAAACCTTATTTCTGTGCTTCCTCTCTGAAACACATACATACCCATATACCTGACATGCCATTGACCCTTGTATAAATGTGGTGTATTAGCTCAGGCTGCCATGACAAAATGCCATAGACCAGGTGGCTTAAATAAAATGTATTTCCCTATAGTTCTGGAGGCTGGAAGTCCAAGATCAAGGGGCAGGCAAGGTAGGTTTAATTCTGAGGCCTCTTCTTGGCCTGTGGGTGCACCTTGCTGTGTGTTTGTAAGTCCTCTTTATTGTGTGCCAGAGAGAGAGGGCAAACTCTTGGAGTCTCCTCATGCCAGGGCACCAATCTCATCCTAAGGGCCCCATCCGCATGACCTCATCTATCCTAGTTACCTCCCAAAGGCCTCATCTCCCAAATACCATCACACTACAGGGTTAGGGCTTCAACAAACAGATTTCAAGAGGACACAGCATTCAGTCCATAACCCCTGGGAAAGCAACTTTGCTAGTTTTCCAGATGAGAAAGTAAGGCTCAGAGAAGTAAATATATCAGACTAAGGCAACAAGAGAGAGGACTGAAGGAGGGTAGTGTCCATCACGATGACCTCTCCATGCACATGATGCCCACCCAACCCTTCCTTTTCCCTCGATCAGTACAGGAGCTCAGTGGGCCGTTCCAGCCAGAGCTATTTCTTCTACATTCTTAGAAGGATGTAGGAGTTTCAAAATATATATACACATTCTTTGATACTCCTCTCTTCAAAAAGTGGAATCTAATTCTTCTCCCCTTGAATATGGACTATACTTACCAACTCACTTCTAACGAATAGAATGTGTCATGCGATTTCTGAGATTAAGTCTAAAAGACACTGTGACTTCCTCTTTGCTCTCTCTCAGATCATTGGCTTTGGGAAGGACAGCTTCCTGTGTCAGGATGCTCAAGAAGCCCCGCAGAAGGGCCCGTGTAGCGAGGAACCAGGGCCATCTGCCAATGGCCAGTGAGGAACTGAGACATTCTGCCAACAGCCATGTGGGCACACCATCTTGGATGTAAGTTGTCCAGCCCCAGTCAAGCCTTCAGATGACTGCAGCCCTGGCTATCGTTTTGATGGCAACCTCCCTAGGCACCCTGAGCCAGAACCTCTAGTTGTCACTTTTAGATTTCTGACCTACAAAACTGTGAGATAATAAATATTCTTTTGTTTCTGGCTGCCAGATTTTGGGAACAGCCATAGATAAGTAACGCCAAGGGAAAGGCGTGTTATGCTAGTGCCAGTTCCCTGTTCTCCACATTACCCACTCGACAAGCCATGCCAACATCGCTGAGCATCAGTTTCCTCTGGTAGAAAAATAGCAATAATAACACCATACAGCATGCCTGATACACTTTACCTGATACTGACCAGCTCAAAAGAAGCACCCAATAAATTGTGGCTGTTGTTGACACCTTATCAGTTGTGTAGCTTCTCCTAGTAGGTTTTTGCCTCTTAGTTTCAGATGCCCACTTTCCTCACCTGGGGTGCCAAGCTCAAACTTAAGTTAGTGTGCAGGACTCAGGAGAGAGCCCTACCTGCCTAAACCTTCTAGGCTGAGGGACTTAGAGCTTTTTCCCCATTTCAGTATGGAGAGCCTCCCAAAGGTTCCTCCCTCACTCCTCTCTCATCTTCTGCTAGCCTCCATTTTTAACCCTAACCTTTCATCTCAGAATTTCAGCTTTGATGCTTCCCACTTCCTTCCTGTGGTTACTTTAACCGAAGTGAGTCAGGTCTTACTGAAAAACTGAGCACAGGCAGTTGGCTCCCACCCTGCCCCAGGACAGGGCTGCCTGGAGAGAGCGTGAAGGGGATCCGTGTTCGCTCAGCCCATTCTTTCCCTCTCCTCTCCTCTCTGAACCATGGGGCTCTGAGTAGGGCTTCCCCAGCCGCCGGGCCCCTCCCAACAGACCGCAATCTGAAGTCAGGCTCACGTTGGTTTGGTGGCCCAAGGAGGCAATCAGAAGGAGTGGCGGCCGCTTGAATCCTGGGGTGTCCTATCAAGTGGGCTAATTTGCTTATATTCCACTCTGTTGGATCCAGCCTCATGCCTCTGATCTCAGCTTAAGGGAGGATTTGGTAAGAATTGTTAGTTGTGAATACCTGTAACAACCGCTCTGTACATTGGGACAGTCTCCTAGTGCTGGGATCCATGTTAGCACTTAATCCTAATCCTCACAATAGCCTAGACAAATTATTCATCCTGGATATTTGGGGTTTGAAGAAGCAAAAGAGAAAGAAAAAGAAAAGAAAACTAAAAATTTCTGCTTCTCTTCCTAATTTTTTAAGTTTAGTATGTGCAGGGTCTCATTCTTAGCTGTGAAAATAAGCATGATCTTTAAGGATTTAAGGGTAATTCCTTAAAGGAATGCATTTATGGGAAAACTATGGTGGTCTACACTGTTGGCTTTGAAGCAAGAATAGCCTCCCCCCCACCCCACGTTCCTCCTTCAGATTTGGAGGCTTCTCTGTCTCTGGAGAGGGTAGCAGGCATTCTTTCTCTGCAATGCAGAACAATTCATCCATCTACTCTCTCCTATCTTGGAAACATTGAGGGAATACTTTTAGTTAGACAGAAGTCAACTGACATCAGAACTGATTTTAATAAGACACATTTATTTATTCAAAATTAAAATCTGCTATGAAGACAGACAAACAACGTAACATTCCCAGAGGAATTGAATTACTTCTTAGTTAAAACTGAGTTCTATTAGAACCAACTGTAAGTTGTTATAAATAACAAGCTGGCCAAAGCTTTCAAGAATGAAGTCGTTGGACACTGAGGTCAGGGGAATCTCTCTGAGCCACTGGTATAATAGTTATCATAGGGGCTCCCCAGTTTCTCTTTCTGAAGAGTGTAAGAGTCTTTGTGACATTCTGGGAGCCCCAAGCCCAGGAACAAGAGAAATTACAGGAAGGTCAGGGAAAACAGCTCAACAGCTGTAAAGTGTGGTCAGGCTTGGCATGGAAGCTTCATTTGGCTCCCCGAGCAACATTTGTTTCCTTATATAACTTACAATTTCTCTTAAAATACTCAAAGACCATAGGGTGTCACCCTGTGGAAACAGCTTAAACACAAGTGAAAATAATAAATATTGAAAAAAATTATAATACTGGACCTCTTTCTAAATAGTTCACAGAGAAGCACAGTCAATAAATAGAAATGGGGGCTGAGGTATCAGAGGTAATAAATATTTTAGGAGAGAGGTACGGCAGGGTTTTCCAAGGAGGTGGTTCGGCTCTCTCCGAATCCTGGATCATATTTTGGAGATCTCCGATGTTCGTCTGAGAGTCTAGCAGAGCTACGTCCTGGTGGTTTGGTTTCCTAGGTTGTTTCAGTTTTCCATTCTCATTGTCATGTAGGCTTCTATGTAGTTGATGAAGATGTCAAACTCGCTCATGGCTTTGTAGACACCTTTCTCTTGGAGCTGTGCAGGGAGATAAGAGATGTTCAGGGAAAACCGCCATCCGAGTGGCCATGAGAGTCCCTGGCTTAGATGGGCACATCCCCGGGGCCCAGAAGGTGCGCCTGCTCCCCCACGTTGGGAGGTGAAGGGAACCTGGGAACCTGAGGATATGCACGGCTGCCTTGGGAGAGGCTGTGCGTTGACCGGAAGCACAGGCTAGTGGGCAGTTAAGAGGAACATTCTTTGCAAAGCACAGTCTTCAAAATGGTGCCTTTTCAACAATTTTAAAGGTCATGGGCTCACATGATGCTTATTCAGAATTTAATGAAAAGACATTAGAGGAACCACTGTCAAAGCAACACAGAGAGAAGGAAACCTTTTTTATGTGCGTGCTCCCCCACCAACTGCTCCAGCCTATTGTCTGGGAATTCATGCCCCGTGATGTTGGAGCCCTGCTTGGTGTCTGTCCCCAGCCCATGAAGAGGGCAGAGGCCACCAGGCTTCTGAGAAGCAGGGTTTGAGAGTTCACAGACAGTTGGAAGTGTGAAACCTCACTGGGTTTGAGAGGTGACACTCTCAGGCGCTTTGGGAGGTGTGACCGGCCAATGGAGAGGGAGCACGGACCAACCCCAGAGAGGCGGGAGAGTTCTGCTTCCTGCTCGGAGTTCTGGGGAGTCCATTCTGAACCCCTGGGTGTGTTTGTGTGTGTGCATTCACGTGTTGGCTTCCTGCACGTGTGGCTTCAGCCCAGCTTTCCAACCTACTACTTTCTGTTTCCTTTGTCACTCTCCCCAGCACCCAGCTTGCTGTGTTCACAGGGCGGCTTGCCAGCTCAGCCCACAGGCCTGCAAAGGCCGAAGCAGTCATTTAGAAACCCCCAAACACACTCACAGAAAACAAATATAACTGAGGTGGCATCTCCTCACTGGCCACCGAGGTCACGCCATTTGCTGGGTTCTCACACTCCCTCTGGGAGACCGGGTCTGTAGCATCTGACAGCCCCTGCCCCCTGGGGAGTGGACAGCGGTTGTGTTCCCCGAACCCCCTCTGCCGCCGCCCAGGCTCACCTTACTGAAGGCGGTCTTCACCTGCTCCACGGCCTTGCTCCTGTTCTCGCAGGGCAGAAATCGATGCTGTGGAGGGAAAGAGAAAGTGTTAATGTCACTGGCTCCCAGCCCCCGTGTCCGCAGCACTTGGGGGACAAGCTGGTAGCAGGAAGAAGGGGCCACACTCATCTTGAATGCCCACCTCCTCCCACAGCTTCTGGGGAGAGCCAAGCCCTACCCCACCCTTCTGCACCAGACACAGGAAATGGACGGACGTGAAGATGAAATGTATTCCTCAGGGGGCTCCCTGAGGTGTCTGCAAGCTCACATGGAAACCCAGGTCTCGGAGCTTCCTCCCCAGGAGTGCCACAGTGCCAACTAGCATGCAGGGCCAGGCATTTTGTCCCTTCCTGCTTCTCTGTCCCTCTTTTTTTCCCAGCTACCCAGGACCATTTCTAAGTCGTGAGGAATAGAGACACAGTCTCCTCTATAGGGAGCAAGCCCTTGGTATAGTTCCATCCTACACATAGAGATGAACTGACTTCCCAGCATCAGTGAGAGAATGAAGGAAACCAGCGGGTATGGTGTTTCAGCTGCAGAAATAAACTAGGCTGGGGAAACCATAGACCCTAGCCGGGGAATGAGCAGCTCCCTGGCTCTTCTAAAATATCAGGGAAAAACCTGTCTGTCATGTGGGTCCCACTTAGAGCTCTGCTTTCAAAAGACCAAGAATAAGAGGCAAGTGGAGTTTCCTCTCACCTGCCTGGCCCCGGGGCCAGTTCAAAGGGCCAAGGAATCCCTGACTGAAGGCTCTGGGCCTCTTTCATGAAGAGAGAGGGGAGTAGTTAATAACCCACAAATGACTCACAAATAACAGGAAAGCTGTTTGCAAATCTTCACATGTAAATGCCTAGCAGCCACCCCCACCCCTGCTCAGAGAGAAATGAGCAAGAGACTGAACTCCAGTGCCTTTCCCAGAGCAGTCTTGCCAGTCTGCCTCTGCGTGCGTGTGGTGTTGGGAGATGGTGTTTCAGGAGCTACAGAGCCCCAGGGGTGAGAGCCGGCGGCTACTCACACAGCGTCGCAGCCTCAGCCTGAGAGTCTTCAGCTTTTCCCCCAGGGAGTTCACGTGCTCGCTGATGTCTGGGCTGTGGTTCTCAGCCAGGGGCATCACTTCCTTCAGGTAAAACTGGATCATCTCTGACAAGGCTTGGCAACCGAGGTAACCCTAAGGGCAGGGACCCAGGGTTAGCGGTGATGGGGTGGAAGGGCTGCTGCCCTAGCTTGAGAGGACGGCTCTGTCTCCAGGGACCTTTCTTAGCTAGCCACCTCCCCCCAGAACTGGGAGGACGGGGCCCTTTGTAAGCCTCCGGCTGCTAGCTAGATGCTGAGTTAAGATCTTCCCACTTCTCCTTTTCAAAGTGAAGAAAGCAGACCCAGCTCCCCGCAGGCACGCAGCCATGCCTCCCTCTGAGTCACGCCGCACGTTCCCCCAGCCCTCACACACCCGCTCTCACCTTAAAGTCCTCCAGCAAGGAACTGCTCAACAGCATGTCGTCCAGCTGGTCCTTCATCTGCTGCAAGGAGAGCAAAAGGAGAATGAACTTGAGGTTTGGGGAAATACCTGAAGTGAATGTCTTTCTGGCGCCCTTTTATTTGAGAGGTTTTTATCTTTAATCAATGCAGCACTGATACAAAACTGGAAAGGAGAATTGTCACAACAGGGCATTCCACGGTGCTGACACCCTTAGTTAAATCAGGTTCTCCCCGTTGGGATCAAGCTGTTTTAAAAAGTTCTGGCCCATTTTGAAGCCAAGGCAGAAGCTTGACCCGGTCTGGATCTTCTTTCTGCAGAGACATAGCATGTTCCAAGGGTTCACCCAAGCCAGCTTTTCTGTGCTTTTTGCTTTTCTTTCTCTCTGTTACAGACACCCAGCTGCAGCTTTAAAAGCTCTCTGGGGATGGGAAGCATCTCCTAATTGCAGGTGTCCTCCGGTAGGGCACTTCCTCAAACCATCAGTCTTTCAGGTTCTGGAAGCCGTCTTATGCAGAGGTAATTTATGTTGTCCTGCCGCAGGGGATGGGGAACATCCTCACCTCCAGTCAGACCCCAGTCAGACCCCCTGTGATTTCTCCCAGGCAGTGAAGTACAGGATCTTATCACTTAAAGGCAGAAGTTTCTGAGCACAGGGAAAGATAGTGCATTTGCCTTTTAGGCAGCTTTTCCTGCACATTTGCTGCACCTGGGCTTAGCTTAGCTCACTGAACCCATGGCTTGACCTGGTCTCTCTTAATAATTTAAAAGAATGGGGGGCATGGGGGCTGCGGATGGAGGCAAACAAGAGGGAAGTCTCTAAGAGCTCTAACAGAATGCCCGGTTCAGGCAGTCCCAGGAAGAAGGAAGGACAGGAGGGCATCATACTTACAAAGAAAGCCTTCACCTTGCTGAAGGCAGCTCGGAGCTCTCGGAGCATGTGGGGCAGGCTGGCTGGAAAGTGGGTGCAGCTGTTCTCAGGTGGGGCATCCTGGTTTAGGCTGGCTCCCACCCCAGCCAAGAGGACCAGGCAACATAGCAGCACTGAGTCGGGCATGGTAGAGATCTGCTTCTTCTGCAAGCTGGCCTTGTGGTTTGGCTTTGCAAGAGCCAGTCCCCTGCTGCGTAGACCTGCACCTCCTGTGTCCCCCTTTTATATTGTGGGTTCTGGGAGGCCTTGCCATTCATAAAAAGCCACAGTCACAGATTTCCTGGCAAAGGTTTTTTCTAAGCTCCTCCCTTCCCTAGATCTCTCCAGCTTTGCATTCGTTGAACTTTGTAAAATTCTAAAGTTTGCATTGTAAGCAAAAGCAATGGTTGAAAAATGAACTTCTGCATACAGTTATTTTTAGGATGCGCTACCTCTCTCTCTCTTTTAAAATATTTTTTTCAGCTTCTCTTAATAAAAAAAAAAAAGCTGATTTCCTGGGGTGAACAGCTGCTCTGTGCGCAGAGACCCACAGTTGTGGGTTCCATTCGCGTGTTCCTAGGTCACAGTGACGTGGACAAATGGGCCATTCCAGAATACACTGGGATTGAGAAATTATTGGATCCCCTCCCCAACCTGAGTTGAATAACCAAGGCTTCTCCTTGCTGAATTGGGAAGTCACCTCAGCAATCTGGAACTCAGTTTCTTCAAGTGAAAACATGGGGGTGAGCTACATGTCCTTCAAGCTCTCTTCTGGTTCTTTCATTTCATGTTCCAAGACTGCCCCTTGAAGAGGCTGGCTTCCCACAGGACATTCCCCTGGGATGTGCTGCAGGCCCCTTCCCTAAACCTGGGTTCATTTACATTCTCAGGCCCATGTCTCCACCTTCTTAATTATCCCAGTATTTGTGGGAAGTTAGTAAGAGGAGCTCATGCTTACTGAAAGCCTGGTATCTCCTAGTCACTGTGACCCTCATTATCTCCACTTCATAGGGAGCAATTCAAGGCAGAGAGATATTAAGTGATGTGCACAAGATTACACGTGTGCTAAGTGAGAAAGTCAGAATTTGCACGCAGGCCTGCCTGACAGTGACCCCATGCTTCTTACCCTTCTCTCCACTGTCCACAATGTGTGGAATGAGAAGCTTGGATTAAAGCGTCCTTCAGGTCTCTTTCAGTTGTGAGCTTCCATGGCTGGGGACAAGCTGGAAAGATGGAAAGGAAGTAGACACAACAAGGGAAGTCGGGGTTCCGGGAAGGCTGCACAGCAGATGCTTTCTTCTCTCTTACCCATCTCTGCTCCCTCTTCCAAAGAAGCCTCGTGGCCTTGTCTTGGATTTGTGAGGTGGGGATGGGCAGGGTAGCCAGATGTGGTGGGGAATGTTGCTCTATCTCTAGTAAGGGAAGGATGGGGTAATTATATCACTTCTTCGGATATCTGGAAAGTCTCTGGGGGGTCCTTTATTGAGTCCTGGCCTCACCCTCCTCAGGGGCTTCCCCACCACCCCAGTGAAGACAGTAACTGGGAAGAGCTCTGACTTAGGTGGCCAGGAGGCCCAGGCTCTGCCCTCGCCCTGTCACTCTGTAAGCCCAGGGCAAGTTATTTGACTGTCCTATGTCTGTTTTCCATCTGTCCCAACGGGGCCACAGCGCCCATCCTCCTGCCTGCCAGACGCCTTCGGGTTTCACATGGGAGGCGCTTGGGGAAGTAACAGCGGAACCCAGATGTTGACTCTTTGCAGAGCTTCTGTTATTCCTTGCCCTCCTGCATCGGCACTGGGACCCCTCAGATGGCACCAGGTCTGAGCCTGCCCCATCGGAGAAGTCACAGTGCAGAGCAAGTCCTGAGGGCCAGTTTGAAGGGAGGAGAAGGGAGAAGTCTAGGTCCAGCCTGGGGATGGGCCAGGGTCAGCTGACTGTGGTCTCTGCTTCTAACCCTTCAGGGTGCCGATGCAGAGACCCAGGAATGTGAGGCGAGAAAGCCTTTTAGAAGCAGGAGCAGAGCTGGCTCAGCGGCGCCTCCTGCAGGTTCACCCTGGGCTCAGGAGCAACTTGGCTGCCAGGAAGCACAGAGAAGGGGCCAGGTCGGGGTTTTGCACCCCTTCCACCTTCGCCCCCACTCTTGGCTCCCGGGTTTTCTAGGTGGTGCCTGCCTCAGCCCTTGGGGGCTCCACCTCTTCTCTGAGCTCAGGGGGCATTGGTGCGGACTCAGCATGCCTGCTGGAGGCCTGGGCAGGGCTCTGAGGCCCTGGCCTGGCAGCACAGATCCCTTCGTACTGTTGCTGGCCACCACACCCTGTCCTTTCCTCCACTACTTTATCTACAACCTGATATCGCTATCATCCATGTGCATCCATGCCTCTCTGATCAGCTGTGGGTGCCCTGAAGCAGGACACTGTTTTATTATCCTCTGTGTACCTTTTGCCAAGCTCAGGGTCTGGCCCATAGAAGGTGCCAAATACACAGCTTCCCCTTTTCTATGTTGGGTGGGCATAGCAGAGGGCCTGGTGAGCCTGGACCCAGGCTGGAGGAAGCGACACTGTGGAGGCTGGTCTGGGCACAGGCAAACATTCAGAGGGCGAGGGAGAGCAATTTAGGGGGTCAGGTAGCATCTCTTATACTTCTTGTAATCTGAGCTACGTGTGTAAATACACACAGCCATGCATAAGATGGCAGGGAGAGGGGAGGTGGGCAAAAGCCATTCTCTCTCTCTTTAATCCACAGTCCATTAAGTAGGGTTAGGATTAGGCATTGAATCCTTTATTTGCATTGCTTATTTGGAATGTGTGGTCAATTATTTCAGGCCATTTGTTGAATAGTTGATCCTTTCCCCATTGGTTTGGAGTTATTTGCTCTAATCTTAAAATTTCAGAATCTAAATGGTCAGAGAAAACCATAGGCACGTTTCTTTTTGATGCGATCCCTTGATTAACTAGTGGACATAACAGAACCTTCTTTATCAGCATATAGCATTGATGTCAAGCTGATACAAGAAAATAAGGATGAGCACTTTGGGAAAAGTTAAGACCCTTTGAACAAAAAAAATAGTAATTTCTAAGGTTGTGAAGATACCTGTTTATCTGAAAAGTCACTAGGATCCGTTGGGAAAGGTTCCAAACTTATAGGTCACATCTGAGACATAAATGTCTATAATCACGTTAGGAGATTTGAGTCTGGGTTTTAGTCTGAGGGAAAACCCCATGTAGGGAAGTAAGGGAGAGAGAGCAGGTATCTGTGGGGGGGGGTGAGCATCTGCTAAGCACCATTTGGTTTTGTGTATTTCAAGAGGACACAAACGCTGCTTGTCAGACTGTGAGTTCCTTGAGCGCAAAAGGCGTGAGTCATATTCCCTCAAGTCCGGATGCATGGCAGATGTGTAATAAATGCTTATTAACTTGAATTTAAATGAACTTTTCCAGTGAGGACTCATTGAGGAATCAGAGGAAGGTTGTAGGAGGGGAAATATCTCTCCTCTTCACCTCTGCTCCAGAATATTCCCTGACTTCTGTATTCAGCTACAAACAAAAGAAAATCTGACTAAGCATGGCTTAAAAAAGAAAAGCGTATGATTTTTTTTTTTTGGTCTCATCCAAGACGTCCAGAAGCAGGCAGTCCGGGGCTGGTCGAGCACTCATCCGTCATCCAGATCCGGCCTTTTCTGTCTTCCTGCTCGCCTGTCCTTTGTTGAAAGATCTCAGGGAACCATCCATGGTGCACATGGGTAAAGTGTCTAAGTCCAAAGGCATGTCAGCCAGTAGATTCTCATTATCTTTCCAGAAAGCTCCACCCAGTGAGTTTCACCACTTTAGTGGGAGAGGAGTCCAGGCAGATAAGAACTGCTTAGATCTGTGGTGGGGGTGGTGAGTGGTGGGTAATAGGTTTGAAGGGTCCTCTCTGCAGGGCACAAGATCTTATAAGGAGTCACCTCCCATCTACCCTCATGCTCAGCAAAATGGCAGCCCTCCTGGTATAACTGGTCTGTACTTTGCAGCAATTCTATGACTGAGACCAGGAGTAGAAACAGCCCCGTGGGGAAGGCTAAGGGATCAGGGCTTGATTGACTCAGTGTTCAATGAGCTTGCCTGGCAATAGGGTCACTGGGGAGGGAGCAGGCAGGTGAGTGATGCAGGCAGAGAAGGTGGGATGGTGGCCACCTGGGGTGAGTGAGATGACTGTCCCATGAAAAATCCCCTTGGGGCTTAGCTCCTACTTGCCCATTATTATTTTAAGGCTGATAATGGGAGTTTCATTTCTTCTTATTCAGGACATCCAGTGTGTACAATAGTTTCCCCAGCTTGAAATTTCTAGAATTTTCTTGAACAACCTTCCTTAGCTCCCTGGACAGAAGCTTCCTTGGCAGCTATGCTGCAACAGGCCCTGTCAACAGCGCAGTCTGGCGTCACACCCCACGTGCGGTCGGGTGGGGGTCCAAGGAGACAGGGCTCCATGGCATTCTCTTTCTCTGGGCTCCTCTGACTTTGGTCTTATGGCTGGGGTGCTTCAGAATAAAGGCCTGGAGGGTCAGAAGATTCAAAGGAGCCCACTTGGGGCCGGCCCCTAGGGCCAATCAAGCAAGGGTTATGCAAACTGGATTGGGTGCCCTTCCCAGGATTGTGGCCGGCAGACATTGCAAACCACAGCGGAAGGGCTGATCTTTGGACAGCCAGTGTGGAATTCCCCTTTGTGCAACTGGGGCACCAAATCAAGCAATTTGGATTTTCCTTAGAGGACGGACACTGTGCTCTGTAACTTCTCATGTGAGACATTTGGCTTATAGGGGCCAGGCCGCCAGGTGTTAGAGCCCTTGCCACTCATAGGATACAGCTGTTTCTGCTCCGTCCGCGTGACTACCTAGACTAGTGGGCTCCGGAGTGTGGGGCATCAGTGGAGTCTTTCAGCTGCAGGGCTATCCCTGTGATGGGATTTGGTCCACTGGCTAACACCTCAAAGCCAGCATAGCCAAGCAGGGCTGGCTGGGTGACCCTGTGACCTGAGAAGGACCTGCCCTTGCTCTGCTGCCCTGTCTTGAAATTCTTAATGATTGTGGAACAAGGGCTCCCACATTTTTATTTTGTGCTGGGCCCCTAGTTTATGTAGTCGATTCTGTATTTGAGACTAAAGCCGTCTTCTTTCTCTTGCTCACCTTCATCCAGTGCCCCCCTAACTCAGTAAAAGGCACCACCATCTCACCCAACAGACCAGCTGAAGCCTAGAAATGACCTGTTGGTTCCTCCCCCTCCCTCGCCAATCTTTGTCCGATCTAGTATCAGGTTCTCCAGATTTTTCTTCACAAACATCTTTCTAATCTGCTTAATTCTCTGCATTTCCAGCATCATCAGC